CTCTCTCTCTCTCTCTCTCTCTCTCTCTCTCTCTCTCTCTCTCTCTCTCTCTGTGTGTGTGTGTGTCCTTTAGGAAAACATTGTCAACACACCCTTTCATTTGAACTTCACTTTCTACAGCATCGGTGCCTTTAAGGGGATTTGCATCCTAAGCAGGAATTCTCCAAATTGGACTCCTTCAAGTCATTCCACTGAGTAGCCTGAACTGTGAAAGTGATGGCAGGTAAAACAAATACAATAGCTATAAATAGCAGGATGCCATTTCATCTTTCATCCTTCAGAGCATCTGTCTGGCAAGTCATAAGATCTGCAGCAAATCGACAGCTTGATTTAGTGGCGGTGGCTGATTGGCAGAGGTAAGCATTTTCTGACTGGATCCCAGATGAACTTGAGGGAGGATAAAGTGTCTGGGTTGTTGAGAGCTGAGTGGTCTCTGGGAATGGCTACTGTTCGTTTAATGCCTGCCACATTTTTTATTACTTGAGAATTTTATACATAAGTATGATGTGTTTTGATCAAATCTGTCCATCCCATTCACGTTCCTTTAATTCTTCCCCAACCCCACCACTATTCTCTTTCAATTTTACGTGCTCTCTTTCTCTCTATTTCACTGAGTTCACTTAGTGCTTTCTATGTGTTAATGGATGGAGGGCCATCTACTGGACCATGAGTATCTGCTTAGGGTCAACAGCCCTATGGAAAACTGACCCATAGAAGGCTTCCAGAGAAGCCCTCAGTTGCCAGACTAGGGGAGCTAGACCCTGGTGGGACTTCGTGAGAGCTCTCCTATCCACGCTGAGGCTTTGACTGGTTTATTCTTGTGTGAATCTTGTACACGCAGTCCCAGCCACCTTGAGCTCATGTCTCGCTGCAGATGTCCACTACCTCTGGCTCTTAAAATGCTGTGTGCAAACAGTGGAAGCTTCTTAAAATACATTCATGTACATTTATGAATGGAGTTACCTTATCAGAGGGGTGTGAGTAAGGGGAGAAATGAGTCTCCCAAACACCATAAGCTATCAGATAAGAAGTCCAGTGCCAGGCATTTGTTACCTCTTTCTGAGTTGTGGGTCAGTGGGGTCACATAGATCCTAGTCCCCCATACAAACTGTAGGCAATCGCCATTGTTCTCAGATGTCCTCCAGAACCTCCTGGCAAATCCTGTTGTACAGAACACCATTAGTAAGCATCCTAGCTGCACTGGCAAGTTTTTGTCAACTTGATATAAGCTAGAGTCATCACAGAGGAGGGAGCCTCTACTGAGAAAAGGCCTCCATAAATGTTGGGCTCTAGGCAAGCCTGTAGAGCATTTTCTTAGTGATTGGTTGGCAAGGGCCAACCCATTGTGGGTGGTGCCATCCCTGGGCTGGTGGTCCTGGGTTCTATAAGAAAGCAGGCTGAGCAAGCCATGGGGAACAAGCCAGTAAGCAGCTCCCCTCCATGGCCTCTGCATCAGCTCGTTTCTCCAGGTTCCTGTCCTATTTGAGTTCCTGTCCTGACTTCCTTATGCAGAAGTTGCTTCTTTGGTCACAGTGTTTCATCACAGAAAATAGCTGTGACGAAGACATTGGCTGTGTGGTTTTCTCCTGACTTATGACCTGGGCAGAGACAAGGCTGCTGACTTCTCCTTCAGCCACAGGGGAATACAGTGGGAAGGAGGCTGTAAACCTGAAGATCTCCTCACCCTAAATCACAGGTACTTTATCTTAGATTTCCCAGACCGCACACATGTGAATAGTGAATTTCTGTCATTTTTATCTAAGACTCCCTGTGTGTGCGTGTGGTCTGACAAACTGTGACCAAGGCCTGACAGAAGCAGCTTGCTAGTCTCTGTCTTCAGCTGTAACCAGACAATCACATGAAGAGAAGTGAAGTTAGAGTCAGAGGAGGGTCTCTAGAAGAGTGGTCACATGACCCAAGTTATCCTAAGCACACTTCTAACTCCTCAGAGTGCTGCTACAAAGTCTGTTTACCAAGGCGGGGAGGCGAGGTCTTCTGTGGGCACAGAGCTAGCAAATGAGGTAGATTTTAGCACAGAAAACATGCTTTCAGGCATGTCATATAAGCAATAAATTCCGGTATATTCATCCCATGGGTTCCCTTCCTCTAGAGAGCCCTGATGAACACAGATGCCAAGTTTATAGACCAGAAGACACTTGTGGACAATGACGTCTACATTTCTGAAATCCCAATGCTTAATACTTCATGAGTTACACTTGCTGTTTGGAAAATTAATGAATGATTTAATTCATTTTAGTTCTTCCTTAGTCACAGGTAATTCCTTTTGTTTGATGTGCAGCTTCCTTGTGTCTTTATTTTTTATTTTTATTTTTGTAAATGTCTAGCTAGAATCAGCAAGCACAATGCCCAGCATTATATAAATGTAGCTCCTTTGTTAACTGCCCCACCCACAATGGAATGGCTGGTTCTGAGCTGCGACCTTGAGTACCACAAATAAACATAACAGGACTTTCATGCCTCCTAATCTGCTTTTTACAGTGTAACTTCTGGAAGCTGGAGTGGACTAATCAGCTCCCCAGGCTCCCCTGGAACCAAAAGCACAGTCTGGGCAGGTGATTGAAGCTGAAAGCAAAGGCACCCCAGGCCTGGGCTAATCTGTTGCTATTTTCTTCCTTTCTGGGAATGTGCCCAGTCATCGCTTTAGGAGGCAGAGGCTCAGTTACTCAAAAAACAAATAAGGAAGTTGAGGCCCTCACTCATTTTTATGGACCGCTTGAACACAAGCCACTGAGCATCAAGGCTTTGCTTTCATATGTCTCCAGGGGCATGCTAACATGCTTCAAGAAACTGAGGCAATGTGGGTGAGGTGAGCGGCCCTCTTTGAGTGAGGTCTGTTGATCAAGGAAGGGTTCCCTGTCCTTGTGGCTTAATCTTTACTCTCCTAAGGGGAACCAGGTATCAGTTCATTGGCGGGCCTTTTCTGGAAGAAGAGTGCCTGTCCATGCTGCTGGAAGGGGCTTCCTGCCTGCCTTACCTGACCTGATGAGGGCAAGGCATCCATTCTGTTAGTGTCTAGGGCTGGTTTAGTGTTCCCAGCCACCCATTCCATTTCATAAACCCCAGAGAAGCTGCAAAGATTGGGAAGGCAATGCTGTGTTCCGAAATGAGCTTCAGCTGTCAGCAAAGGAAATGTAGAATAAAGCAAACATCTTGTCCCTGCCATCCCCCTACAAAAGTGAAGCCAAGGAGTTTGACGATTTCAGATAATAGATCCTGCAAATGGAACCCCAGAGCAACTTGTCGGATGCTTACAAGTTGCCCACTGGGATTTTAGTGTGAAAGGCAGCTCTGCCTTAAATAATTGGCTCAGATGAAAAAGACAAACAACAGCAACAAAATCAGACCAGAAACCACCCTGATAGCACTCCTCTGTAAACAGCAATAGGGGGCTGCTTCTGGGAGTGTCGCCCTGGTTGTGTGCTTTGGCAGATGGCTCAAACTGAGACCTCTCAGACCTTTCCCTGTAGCATACCTAACCCCCCCCCCCCCCCCGAAAGAATAAGATCAGGGACATTTACCAGGTGTGCTGGCTCATTTTACATCAACTTGACACAAGCTAGAGTTATCTGAGAGGAAAGAACCTCATATGAGAAAACACCTCTGTAAGACCTGCTTTAAGGCATTTTCTTAATTAGTGATAGATGGGCAAGGGCCAACCCATTGTGGGTGGTGCCATCCCTGGCTGGTGGTCCTGGGTTCTACTGAGCAAGACTGAGCAAGCCCCGGGGAAGAAGTGAGTAAGCAGCACCCCTCCATGGCCTCTGCATCAGCTTCTGCCTCCAGGTTCCTGCTCCAACTTCTCTAAGTGATGAACTACAATGTGGAAGTGTGAGACAAACAAACCCTTTCCTCCCAACTGGCTTTGGTCATGGTGTGTCATCACAGCAATAGTAACCCTGACTAGGATACCAGGTTCAATGTGGACTGCATCATCTTCGTGCCTTTTCTTTTTAATTAAAGAATATTTTAGGAAAAGTTCCTAGCTTGTTGTGCAGGCACTGGTGTGAGGGCACTGGTGTGAGGGCACTGGTGTGAGGGCACTGGTGTGTGGGCACTGGTGTGTGAGCACTGGTGTGTGAGCACTGGTGTGTGAGCACTCCACCACAGGCCCCCTGTTTCCACTGAGATTTGTGGAGGTTGGACATGGCACTTCCATTTATCCTTTAACAAGTCCTCCCATCATGGAGTTGCTAACACTTGTTTCTAAGAAAACAACCAATGGCTGCGGCGCGCTCCTCGGCCAGCGAGGAAGAACGACCACCACGTGAGGATTCTTCTCAGATCACACTTTATTGGAGCGCCTCTTGGTTAAGGGAGAGCGGGAGGTGAGGGGCCCCGAGGACTAAACTGCAGCTGCTTATATAGGGAATCAGGCAAACGTGCCGTACTATGATTGGGTCCCGCCAGACTGCGAACACGGGGAGCCACGGGATAGGCTGAGGACATAAGGCCAATTACCATACTCGTGCATCATAGCCAAATATGGAGTTGTTTACAGCTAGGCTACCAGGAAGCCAGCGCCATCTTTGAATAGCGGCTCCCTACAAATGGCCAATGGTGCACCCTCTTGTATTTCTTGTGTCTGCAGATGCTTTCCCATCCAAAGTGCTGCATCAACACCAAATGCTCTATAAGAGGCAGAGTATACAAAAAGATGGACCATACATGAACAGAATTCTGATCCACGACCCACAGCAGCCTGCTGAGGACAATAAGCCACTCTCTACAACATTACACACCGGTACGAGCTAACTACTAAATCTTGGGACAATCCAATCTTACCAGCTGGTTCAAAATGGCCAAGGGTAGGTATGGTGATATATTGTGTACCTTAATAAACTTGCCTGAGGATCAGAGGACAGAGCCAGACACTAACTTTGACATAGAGGTCAGGCAGTGGTGGCACACACCTTTAATCCCAACATTGAGATCTCATGCCTTTGCTTGGGAAGCACACACAACTTTAATCCCAGGAAGTAACATGGCAGGGCAGAGAAAGATATATAAGGTGTGAGGAAACAGGAACTCGTTCTCTTTAGGCTGAGGATTTCGTAGAGGTAAGAACTAGTGGCTGGCTGTTCTGCTTCTCTGATCTTTCAGCTTCAACCCTGATATCTGACTCTGGGTTTTTTTTTTATTAAAAGACCATCCAAGATTCGAACAACAGGTAGGTTAATAATTGACAGTTTTCTTAGTTTTTTTTTTTTATCATTGAATTCCCAGACTTATTGACACACTAGTCACAACAGCCCAGAAGTGAGAACAATCTAAGTGCCCACCCACTGGTGAATGGATAGAGAAAGCAGAACACTGTTCAGCCATAGTAAGGTGGCATGCTGTCATTTATGACAACCTGGGCAGAAATGAGGTTATCGTATTATGTGAAATAGTCAAAGCAAAGAAAGATGAAATGTGATCTCTCTCATCATGGAACTTAAGGGTTGATCTCAAAGAAGTTGCGAGTTGAATGCTAGTTACCAGAGGCTGGGGTGCTTTTCAGAGTGGGGAGGGAATGGACAGGGGAAGTGATCATAGCAATTGCCCTAATTTTCTTGTTCCTGTTTCCAGTTTAAGCTCATCTAGAGCAGTGGTTCTCAACCTTCCTAAAGCTGTGGCCCTTTAATAGTTCCTCATGTTGTGGTGACCCCCAACTGTGGTGATATATTATGTCCCCTCCAATATATTGTATAACCTAATAAAACTTATCTAGGGTCAGAGAACAGAACAGCCATGAGATTAGACATAAAGGCGAGACAGTAGTTGCACACTCCCTTAATCCTATCACTCAGGAGGCAGGGATCCATCTGGCTCTCTGTGAGTTCAAGGCCACACTAGGAACACAGCCAGGCATGGTGACACACACCTTTAATCCCAGCATTTGAGATCTCATGTCTTGCTTGGGAAAAATACATGCCTTTAATCACAGGAAGTGATGGCAGGAAGCAGGAAGGTACATGACACATGAGGACCAGGAACTAGAGGATTTTAAGCTTTTAGGCTTTTAGCAGCAGTTCAGCTGAGATCCATTCTGGTGAGGACTTAGAAGCTTTCAGGCCAAAATTTGTGGAAACAGTATCCGGTCCGGTGAGTTGGCAAGGTGAGGTTAGCTGTGACTTGTTCTGCTTCTCTGATCTTTCAGAATTCACCCCAGTGCCTAGCTCTGGGTTTTTTTTTTTTTTTTATTAACAAGACCATTTAAGATTCGTGTTACACCCAACCATAAGATTATTTTCATTGCTACTTCATAACTATAATATTGCTACTGTTATGAATCATAATGTAAATATCTGTTTTCTGATGGTGTTAGATGACTCCTATGAAAGGATTGTTCAACCCCCAAAGGAGTCATGACCCACAGGTTAAGATGCACTGATTTAGAGACAGCCACATGAGAGGATCTGTGGCTTGTGGGATAAGAGGCAGAGCCAATTGGGAGAGGTAGATAATCCGGGCCAGGGCAGAAGGGACCATCTCTTTGGTTTTTTGAAACAGGGTCTCGTGTGTAGCTCAAGCTGGCCTTGAACTTGCTATGTAAGTGACACTGGCCTTGAATTCCTGATCCTCCTCCCTCTTCTTGCTCCTGAGTGCAGGGACTGTAGGTATGAACTTCCACACCACACTAATGTGGTGCTGGGAAGGGAACCTAGTGCCCCCTGCACACTAGGCAAGCGTCGGTTTTGCTGTACCCCCAGCCCTGTGTCTAATTTCCATATTTGTAATTTTATGTCCTTTTTTAGAGACTCCCCTTCCCACTCCACATGCTGGCCACCATCCTTTGTGCTGGGGAGGTTGCAGAAAATCAACAATTGTGTCTGGCCTCAGAGCTGACTCTAGCAAGAAACAAGTATCCTCGGGTGACCACTGTCAGCAAAAGAGACAGGAAAGAGGATGGGAAAACGATACAGACTAGAGATGCCATATCCAGAAGCCTAGCTGGGTAAGCACAGCTATATGTGGTTGTTTTACCTTTTAGTGAATAAATGTCACTGTGGGGCGCAAATTTTACCCCAAGGCTTTTTGGTCAGCCTGTACTGTGGGAACATTTGTGTTTCTAAGGGGAGGCTTTGGTCTAACACGAGACTCAGTGTGGACATCACCAGAAGAGTGCTTCTGTCTTACACAGCAGATCTGACTAAAATAGGATTTTTGCCCAAGGCTACGACATTAACAGGAAGGTCTGTATTAATGTGTAATTTAACCCCAGGAACCACTTACTCTCTGCAAGCTACGGTGTCTTGGGAGCCAATTGTTAAGGCATTTGAATATAATGAGGTGCCAAACTCAGAGCCAATCTCAGTAAGTGAAAGATAGAGAAAGCAGCTGCATGTGTAGATTAGAAAGGGGGCAGGCATGAGCTCTGCCTGATGATAAATCATTTCAGTCTTAGCCATGGGTAGAGACGCGGCCTCACGGGCACTGAGCTGAGTAAGTTACCTGTGGCAGAGAAATTCTGCATGCTGGGGTGGCCTTGGTGGGTGATGTGGGAGCTGAAGAAAGGCACTCAGCTTCATTTTTCTTCTTTTTTCAAATTGTATCCAGCTCTATTAAAAACACCTTTCATAAAACAATCATAACATTTCACGTTGGACATGGACAGCCAATCATTAACCGTAAATAAGAACTTCAAAACTCCCTTCTTGTGTGGACTACTCAGACCAGAAAGCCTCTGTAAAGCCTGGTGAAGTCTTCATTTGATGCTTCGAAACAGGGGTGTTCAGAGTGAGGCCACACCTTCCACATTAAAGATGCTTTTAATATTTCACAAGCCAATCCTGACTTTCAAGAAATGAAATGAAAAGGAACCACTGGCTCTTTTGAGGGACACTCAATGAAGTCACTGCAAAGCCAGATCTCCTAATAGGTCGGCAGGGGCTCAGATCCCAACAGGTCTCTCATCTTAGGGTAGTTAAGTCTGTGTTGACGATAGATGGGGAGGAGGATATAAAAATGAATTTAGAGATTTTCCACACCACAAGGTATTTTATGCCATTGGTGGTCATACATGTCAACACCAGGAAGTTCCTCTTGGTACCAAGAATTGTTCAAAATTAGCAGGGAAAGGTGTTTTATCCCCATCAATCTAATTTGGGAGACATTTTGTTATTGACACATGTTCCTTCCCCCCCAACAATCAAGTGTTCTGTGCGCTAATTTTTTTAAAAAGTAAAACAAAATTCTACATTTTTATAAAACTTGATAAAGACTAGTATTTCAAATTATATAGTCTCCAGAAGCACACAGTTTTCAGAAATGCACACATAAGATTGGCATTTCCAGTGCCTGGTCTGTTTTGACATCTCTGCTTTCTGAAGGATGTTTACACCCTTCATCAGCTCTTCCTTTCCCCTTGGGTGCCTTCTCTCTTGGGCTCTGGCTGTGACGGAGCAGGGTTAACAGACAAAGCTGCGATGGTCTCTGTGTCTCCTCCTTCACATTGGCTTTGTCTCCCTTACCATCCCCTTCAGCATGGAGCAATGGCAGGAGGATGTAGATACTGAACACGGGAATGCAGTCAGACCTGTCTTTGGCCAGTCCTGGGTCATTCTCTCAGCTTTAGCACACTGCTGGGCACTCAGCATTTAAGTGACCAAGGCAGATGATATACCCAAGCTCTTGTTGGATGTGTTTTCTGTGATCTTAGGCCAATCATTGTTTCCCTTTCTCCTTTTATCATATTAGCTGTAAAAACAGGATGGTGTTCTCAAGACTACATATATCACAGGACTATAGCATCATTGTTAGGACCTAGCACAAAAGTGTGTTTTTCTAAATGATCCTACAAACTGGAAGCTAACACACAACTATAGATTCCCATGACAGATGTATCAGAAAGAGCTTTGTTTTTTATTATGGCTTATTTGTCTATGATTTGATTTAAGAGATTTTGGCAAACACTAGGACTCTTCTGGAACCCTTACTAAGTTATGAACAAAATGTCACACTAATGGTTTTGGTCAGTGGAGTGGTTATGCAGGCCAGAACAGGGCACCAGATCTCATTACAGTTGGTTGTGAGCCACAATGTGGTTGTTGGGAATTGAACTCAGAACCTCTGGAAGAGCAGTCAGTGCTCTTAACCACTGAGGTAGATCCCTCCAATCTCTTAACTTAATTATTATCCAGTCTCAAAGACTACTTGAATAAGGACTTGAGATAAACCCTGAACTTTGGCATTATACACAGACTGGATAATAATGAAGGATATAGTTACCTTTCCTAGAATTTGACAATTAACCTAAAATTTTTCTTTCAGGATAAAGATAATTTCGCCCATACCCAGCAGGAAGCAATTTTAAGAATACGAACCCCCCCCCCATTCCCAAAGAGGTGTTGTGGGGTGGGTGGTTTTTTGGTCTTTTTAATGGGTTTTGGGTCTGGGATAATTTTCATTGTTTAGGGGGGTTGGTTACAAGTTGTTGTCAAGGGTTAGGAAAAAGGCTAAGCAAAGGAGATTAGATTTAAGGTTCTTGTTAAAAAAAAGGAAAGAAAGAAAAGAAGAAAAAGACAATTACTAATTTTAAATACTTTACATTGGATTGGATTGTTTTATATTATATACAAATTATATATAGTGAAATTGATATTGTAGACAGAGCTAGGTAAGTCTCTGTGTGTTCAGGGATACAGCCAGCATTGGAGACACACGCCTTTAAGACCTGGAGGGCTGTACTTACAGGCAGTGACGAGGCAGTCACGTATTTGGGTTTACAGCCAATGAGAAGGCAGAACAGAAAGACTTTATCAAGACAAACACACAGGAAGTAGGTCTCTTTCAGAGAGGTAGGAACACCGCAGGAGGAAGGGTAAGGTTTTAGCTCTGAGCTCTGACCGCTTGGCTTTCTTCTTTACATTGGTTCTGTGTTTCTTATTTAATAAGACGGTTGGTTACATCTACATGGTTATTACATTAATGTTGACTACAAGTCTTAAGGTGCATGACTGATGTCTATTAAGTGGTATTAATTAACAAAAGGTGAATATCCAGGAATGGTGAAGTGGAGGGTTTTAATGACTTAGCCTTTTTAGTTTTCAAAAGCATTTTTTTTTTAAGTACATCCTTCTGATTCTAGGCTCTGGGGGGTCGGCTACAGGGCCAGACTCACACTTTGTATCTCACACTGAAAGATGTTATCTGTAGATTTCATTTTTTTATTAAGAATTTTTTTTTCATTTTACATACCAATCATAGGTCCCCCTCTTCCCTCCTCCCACCCCTCCAGCCTCCCCCTCCCAACCCACCCTCCATTTCCTCCTACAAGAAGGTAAGGCCTCCCATGGGGAGTCAGCAGAGCCTGGTACATTCAGTTGAGGCAGGTCCAAGTGTCTTGTCTCCCCCTCCCCCGACAGCCTGTGGGAGGTGTCCCATCATAGGTAGTGGGCTCCAAAAATCCTGCTCATGCACCAGGGATGGATTCTGATCCTACTGCCAGGGGGCCCCTTAAGCAGATCAAGCTACACAACTGTCTCGCTATGCAGAGGGCCTAGTCCAGTCCCATGCAGGCTCCACAGCTGTTGATCTAAAGTTCATGAGTTCCCACTAGTTTGGTTTGGTCGTCTCTGTAGGTTTCCCCATCATGATCTTGATGTCCTTGCTCATAGAACCTCTTCTCTCTCTTTGACTGGACTCCTGGAGCTCGGCCTGGTGCTTGGCTGTGGGTCTCTGCATCTAGATCTCATTCTTGCCAACCACACAAGACAAAACTGCAGTGCAGCTAAGGCATTGGTGTTGACACAAGCCATTTTGAATTGCTTTCTTTCTGGTTTTCATTTCTGATACGGGATCCTATGTGCTATGATGTAGAAAAGTGAGTGCAGCCAATCAGAAGCTAGCCTGCTCCTTAAACACCAGGAAATATTGATTCTAGTCATATGCTCTCTAAAAACAAGATTGATTTACTTGTGTGTGTGTGTGTGTGTGTGTGTGTGTGAGTGTGTGTGTGTGTGTGAGTGTGTGTGTGTGAGTGTGTGTGTGTGTGTG